AGAACTAGAATTACTCCCTAATTTTCAAGCGTAACGAAATCCGGACGCAAAAATACCCAAATCCAGATGATCCAACAGCTTTAGAAGATTCAGGAAGATAACACTTACAAGGTCTGGATCTTCATTTGCAATTAAGAAGTGAACTGTCTGATCCAGCGTAGTTGCATCGCATGCTTTCGAATCAAAAATTGATCGTTTGAGGAGTTTCGCGCAGGCCCGTAACATTTCCGTGCGAAGTAGCTTTGAACCCCTGTAATTGGACCTTTTTGCAATGCTAAAAATAACAAATTTTTCAAAAAAAAAAAATATTGTTTGTTTTAGAAACAAATAATACTAAGGCTGTTTGGACATTTGATGAGAGGATCCCATGTTAGTGATGCGTTAAAGGTTGAAGAGAAAATATCGAAAAGGAAAGAAATCAAAGAATGTATGTTGATTGCCCCTGTTTGGGCAATTGTTTTGAAACAAGCTAACAGCCTATGTGTTTTCTTGGCATATGCCAGTACCAATTTATCATCGAAATGAATGAATAAAAAATTTGGCCGTTCCGCTGGCGGGATCGAACCCTCGACCTTCCGCACGACAAATGCTTTCCTTGCCACTGCGCCATGTCAGCGAACAAAGAATTATTAAAGTAGGTAAGAAATGTTTCGGTCCATTAAGTCGTATACATCTCTTACCGTTATTTTACAGTTGGACCTCGTCAGTGCGACGACTGTGGTAACAATAATCTAGTAAGGTGTAAGAATTAATTCAGATGAAAGAGATGTAAATCGGAAGAAATGAAAAGGGTAGAAGAAGTGGAAAACCTTAAAGAGATAGAAGAAATGGTAGGGATAGAAAAGATATAAATGTTATAAAATCGTAAAATCTAATTTATTACCTGCTCATTACTCGTGATAAAACTACCTGCCTGGAATGGTTGTTAATTCATAGTATGGTTCTCTGTCTGATGGGTTAAAAAAAAATCAGTTTGGAGGCTAAATTTCCTGCACAAGAACATGAAAAAAGCTCAATTTTATCGCAAACTCAAAAGCGAGTGCATTTTGCGTATTTCGCAGTCCTTCCCTTCCGGCATCCTACGCGCTGCCAAAGTTGCACTTTTCGATGAAGGACTACGGACGAGGAAAACGACCGGACTTCATGCAAAAATGAAAATTATGCACGCTGTAGGTCACCTGGTCCATGTTTCAGTATTATCATTCCAGCCAACGTCTTTCTTCTCGCGTATCCGAAATGTATTTTTTTTATTAAAAATTACTACAAATAACCCTGAAAAAAAGCCAAAAATACCTGAAATGGCGTACAGCTCCAGAAAAGAAATATTCAAAACACTGTCGAACAAGAGGAGCTTCGAGCAGGACCCATTGTCGGAAGATGTTTGAAACAAAATTTTGAACCATTTCGAAGACCACAAATTCATTGGTTGTTGACTCTAAAACAAGCAAAAACGTCAAAATAACTTGAAAATACCAAAATTAACAAGGTCGCCTGCACAACTGGAAATGGGAGAAGAATGGAGAAATTGCCAGATGCATCAATGGCGAAAAGAAGGCGCTGTTCAAAATAACGAAAATTTTTACAAAAAAAATTTTTTTACAAAAAATTTCTACATTCACAACTATTGCTAAAAATCAAAAAAAAAACTTTCAGGAAACGTACCGATTACCAAGCGACAATACTCCGGCGACATCTGTGTCTCA